TTCCAGTTTCTAATTTTATTAGGAAAATTAAAAACCTAAGAACAATAAGCTTCTCTGGCCGGTGTGGCTCAGTTATTAAGCGTCGTCCTGTGCACCGAAAGGCTGCTGGTTTGATGCCTGGTCAGGGCACATGCCCAGGTTGTGGGTTTGATCCCTGGTAGGGAGTGTGCAGGAGGCACTGGTCAATGTTTCTCTCTCTCTCCCCCCGTCTCTCTTCTTCTCTCTCAAAATCAATAAAAATAAAATATAAATAAATAAAAGAAAAAAGAAAAGACTGTCCAATAAAAAAGAGCAATAAGCTGTTACTTTGGTGACAAGTTTCATTTCCAGATAGTCCCTTTCTCAGCGTCAGTGTGTTTCCAACACAGACAGTGCCCGCCTTCAACCTGGGAGCAGAACTAGACACTGTGACTCAGGTCCTAGAACTTCAATCTCAGTCCAATGTTCACGAGCAGCCTGGGCAGACACTGACCGTCCACATGGAGCCGGCATCGCAGTACCAGCTCCTATAGACTCTGGATTCAGAGCGAGGTGTGGCTTCTCTTCACCACGCCTCTCTCCTTCCACAGAGTCAGGCTTTGGTTTGGGGCTGTCACCGAAAACGCCAGGCCTCGGGCCCCCCTGGTGACGCCCCTCGGCACAGACTCTGGTGTCTGAGCTCAGCAGCCGCAGCTTCGCGGGGATCCACGTTGACACTGTGCCTGGAGCCTCCTGCCAACACCGTTGTCGGGGGAGAGCAGGCCAGCAACTTCCCAGGTTCCCAGTAGGTGCTCCCAAGCCTCCCCTCACCTTCTGCCTCACCCACCCAGACAACGGCTGTGGGCACGTGGGAACCGGCTTGTTTTTCAGCCACGAGGGTCCTAAGTGCTCGCCTGCTAGTTCCCTGGGGACGGGGGACCCAGGGAGCAGAGCGAAGGGGTCTGGGAAGCTTGCTTCCCGAATGTGAGCCACTAACAACTAAACTCACTGAGAAGGACCGGGAGCTCCTTTGTTTCTGCAGAGGAAGCTCTGTGAGGGGATCGCACCTCTGAGGCACATCGTGGCTGCAGCGCCCCCGGCAGGCCAGATGCAGGAAAAGCCACAGGACCTCAGCAGGGGTGTCAGCACCGCACAGCTGGTGGCTGATGCGGGTGGAGAAGAGGAGGTCAGAGGGGCCTGGCTCCTAGGAGGAGAGTGACTTCCAGCCGAGTGCACACTGCCCGGTTTCTGGGTTTCTGTCATGCACATGTGCGAATGACGGAGGCGCAGTGAGAAATAAGGCAGATGCCTGGGTGAGACACAGTGATGCTCCTGAAGGTAAGTGTCGGGCATGTGGATTCGCTGCATGGGAGGCCTGAGCCTGACTTCCTACTTCAGGGCACGGAAGTGTTGGCTGGGCTCGGGTCCCCGCCGGCCAGGGGCTGGGATTCAAGCACACTCACCTCCCGGCCAGAGGAAGTCTCTGAGGAGCCGTGTGCGCTCGCCTCTGTGTGGGAACCCCTCTCCTTTCTCATTTCTGCCTTGACTGCCAGGGGACTCAGCTACATGCTGTGCTACATGCAAACCCCGGATACAGTCTGGGTTTCCAATAAAACTGTTTCAATTTCCCTCATGCTTTTCCTACTTTCTTTAACTTTTTAAAAAATATATTTTTACTGATTTCAGAGAGGGAGAGAGAGATAGAAACATCAATAATGAGAGAATCATTGATCCCCACACTGGGGATCGAGCCCACAACCCAGCATGTGCCCTGACTGGGAATCATACCGCAACCTCCTGGTTCATGGGTCGATGCTCAACCACTGAGCCACATGGGCTGGGCTCTCTCTCACTTTTAACTGCACAGTTGTATGTGTGTTTATCAACTACCTCAAACTAGCCATGAGCTATTAACACAAATATTCATGATAGATTACCTCTTGTGCAAGGACACCATTTTTTAAGTAAGGCAAGACCATCAAAAAATAAGTATTAGGATCTTAACTCCCCCCCCCCCTTTTTGACCAGGATCTTACACTCTGAAGTCCTTTTTTCAAGTTATGCTCCCTTTCACAGGGATGTCTGGAGGAGGAGGCTCCGCTGCCCTCTATGCCAATTTCTTACAAACCCACAGCCCCACCTGCCTCAACTGAAAACGAGTGAGTGAGCCGTGAATGCCAGTAGCTGCCACGGAAGCCACAGCGCAGTGCCGCAGAGTGACCAACTGTCAAGGACCACACAGTGTGTCCTACAAGCAAGAGTGTGCACAGAGACTGCGACCAATGTTTGATTCCCTTAGAGATTTCCTTACGATAAAAAGAAAGGTCGGGGGTTAAATATATGATGATGGAATGAGAACTGATATTGGGTGGTGAGCACACCATGCAATATACAGATGATGAATTATAGAATTGTACACCTGAAACTTATATAATCTTACTAACCAATACTGACCCAATAAATTCAATAAAGTAAAAAAGAGAAAGAGAACCGACAGACATCATTTTATCACTTGGTATCAAATTTCCTAAAAATTGTTTTGATTTTTGATATTGTTAATTCCACATACCTGCCTCCAATTATTTTTTGCATGTTCAAGTAAATAAAAACTTCAACATACTAAAATAACACCTTTTCCTGGGCTATGAACTAATGTGATAAATGAATAAAATAAAATTGTAGCCCTAACGGAAATACATTCATTCAAAAACTTATCCTGGAAAGACCAGAGTGTGGGTGATCTTGTGAGAACCCAGGAGGCTGCCTCTGGACCATCTGGAGCGGCCGCTGCCCCCATCGCAGCAGAGACAGGACAGCAGAGGTCAAGGCCACGCCTGTGGGGGCAGGTGTTCACGTGCCTCGTGCCTGTGGAAGGACCTTCCACAGAAGGAAGTCTTTTACAGCAGAACTCCCACAATGGGAATGGGCAGCGGTCCAAGGATACTGATGCGTAGGTGCATCTTACCTAAGAAGGGGCACCTTTCCAGGTTAAGAAACCAAATGTCATCCCTCAGCTACACGTTCTGGTAATACGTAGACATCAAAAAATAAGGAGAAAGCCTCACTGGACACCTCAAGGAGGTTCCCCAGAGGGAAACGCATCCGGTGGCTAAGTTCTGAGAGGTGATGAGTCTCACACGACAAGGTCTGTACCTCCCTCAGGTTACCGCTGGGGAAGGTGCCCATGACGTTAAATAAGTGGTGGGGTTGGGGGGGGGGGGACTGCACCTGTGTCTGCGCTGGGAGCCGCTCTCCACTCTCCCCCACCTTACATCCCTAATGAACTACTCCCATTAAAAAAGTAGGAATTCTAACAATGACAAACAAAACGGCTCATGGTAAAAATTATAACATTAAGGAAAGTCAGGTAAAAACTTTGTTGAAACATCTCCGATTTGGATGTTTCTGTGAACCCTCCCTGCAATTCCATCTGCCTTGTTCATGCTTGACTGGGTGCTCTGCGCCACGTCAGCATCCGTCTCGAGCCAGAGCCACCCTCAGATCATGCCCAGCCCAGGCTAGGCCTCCTGCAGGGAGGAGTCTCAGAGGCAGGTGGGCTGCCTGGGACACATGGCAGCTGACGGGGCACCTCGGTAGGGACGTGAGTGTCTGAAACAATTCTTAGGAAACGTCATAATTTTTCCTGTAAAACTGTGATTATGAAATATCTAGCTGACACTTAATTAAAACTTTTTGTTATTTAATCATTTTTTAATAGTATGATAAAGTTTAACTAGTGACTAATCAAGAGATGACGAGGGGAAAATGAGATTTCACTCATGGCTTGCTAACCTGTTTCCCAGTGAAAATACCAGGTGGTTTTCCTAAGACTTTTAGATTAGATTTATATAAACACTCCTGCACACATAGCACAAATTCTTTAACTATTTAAATCACATAGTTCAATCATTTACTCTTTCGTACAGTAATAACACTAATATAATAAATCAACTTTAATATTTTAAATCACAAAATTTCCTTAAAAAGAGACCTTGCTATTCCTTTGGTGCATATATAACGGAAGTCTGACAATCCACCACGGATGCTCGTTAAAAACTCCGGCCTCCTTAAAAGCTATATGGGAACCTGGGGAGTCACTTTCCCCGATTTTACTAGAGGACATTCAAAATAATTGCTTGATTTCACCCATAAGTTCGTGTTCAGCTGGAAGGACATGAATGTGGAAGTGAGGGAGGCCGCCCTGCTGCTGAGGGCACACCTGCTTCGGCATCTGGGCTGTGGCCCATGCCCTGGTCTCCAATGGTCTGTCAGGTGGGGTGACCTGGGTCCAGCAGCCCAACGTGAAAATCAACTAAAAGTGTGCTACAGACTGTGCACACTTCACTCATCACAACGGAAACCCCACGGAAGGGGGAGGGGGCTGCTCAGTGTCCCAGAGGAGACCGCCCTCCCCCGACCACCCACGCCTCAGGTGTGCGGACAGGCTCCGCTGTGATGCGTCCGTAGCAACCATGACTTAGCCACCTTGAGATGCTCCCACACCCTCCTCTCTGACACGCCTGAGTCCCAGGATTTATGAGGACAACATGGTCCTTTAAAGCCCCGACTCCGGGGGCAACCAGCCCTGTTTCCCTCCCGGCACCGCCCCTCAGCTGCCGGCACTGGGGGCTCTTGTCCTGGGACAAACTGTTCCATTAGGGAAGCCACGCTCTGCAGGGAGCCCTGAAGGCCACACTCTGACTTAGCGTCTGTGATTTATGCCCTGCAGCTCCGGCAGGAGACACGGGGGAGGAGAAGCCTCTCAATGTCACGGGGAGGGTGTCAGCGCCGTCCCCATGCGCATGGCCAAGGGCCTTCAGACTGGCCTTCGTTTATGTCGTCGTACGCATGATCATAAATTTGCCCCTGAAATAGGAAGAATGGCTCACGTGTTGAGAACTTGTACAAGAGACCAATGACCGGGCTCCTGTCCGAGGGAAAGCACAGCGTCACTGCTCTCCAAGAACAGCTGCCCACCGCTGTCACAGTGGTCGGCCCCCAAGTCACCCGAGACGTACAACGTGAACGAACGCGGGCATTACCTTCTGTGTCTTGCATATTTGCCACTAACATGGCCGCTGCCATCACAGCCGGGCGTGGGACAGCTGCAACGGGAAAGAATGAATTACACGGGGCCACATGCCGCAGGCGGTTAGACCGAGAGCGTCAGTGACAGGACAGAGAAGGAGGGCCACACAGACGGACAGGGAAGTGCAAACCTGGGGGGCGGTTAGGGTGCTTTTCATTAGTGAGTCTCGGGGAGGCAACCGCATCGGGGCAGCGGCTGTGAGGAGACCCAGGCACTTGGACGTCCAGTCTGGCATGAAACGCCTGGACTTCCCACACTGCGAATGGGGACACATGTACCCACAGAGCACTGACCTGAACAGCTCCTGGATGGCTGGCTCCACGGGAACTGCAGAGAGAGGGAAACAGATAACAAGGCGTCATCTACCACAGCACCCTCTTCCACAGAACATTCCCGAGGGGGGGCAGGCAGCGGTCAGAATGCATCAGGCAACAGCTTCCGCAGCATGAAGGTGACCCCGAGGGGCCTCCAGGGAGTCGGGGGGCGTGGACGTACCTCGAACCCCTTTGGACCGTGTGCGATGACGCTTCTCGTCGGCGTCCACCTCCATCTGGGGATAGAGTAGCAGGTGGTCAGTGTCCTTCTCCCACACGCCGAGGCCAGCAGGCATTGTAGGGACAGTGTTTGAACCTGTGCCCCTCTGTGCAGGGAGCCTCTCCAGGGGGAAAGCATCAGGCAATCCAAAGGCGTAGGAAGTAACGGGCCCGACCTTGACCTTGCAGGGATGCTCAATCGGGAGGCCCTGCCTCTGTGAGGAGCCTCGAGTGCAGCCTGCATCCTCGCTTGTAAACGACTGAGTAGGACACATCTGGGTTGATTCTGAGTTGAACTTTGTACCAAGAACGTTCACTGGAGGTGTAGTCTGTCCAGGAATGGGTGTCACAGGACAACGACGTGCCTGGGTGACGCACTGCCCCCTAGCTCCTGGGTGCTGCTGCTACCCACACTGATCTGAACCGTCAGGAGGCTCCTCAGGGACACAGGCCTTTGCTCGTAGTGACCCACACGTCTCACTGTGGGGATGAGGACGTGTTCTCGGGCACTGCCTTGCAGGACCCTCCCAGCAGCTCTGTAAGGAAGGGCCTGCATGGCCTCTCCTGGAGATCTGACTCGCCCACGAGCATCCGATGGGAGTTCGTGCAGGGCCTGTCTCCGCATGCCGTCTCTAAGACCAGGAGCACACTGCGGGATGGATCACCCGATATTTCCGCAGCGTGTGAATAACTATACACGCAAACTGCCCATGGAGGGGGACTCCAGTGCACCTGGCGGGCTGCCAGGAGAGCAGCAAAGAGGAGACGCAGGTCCTCTGACCACAGGAGCAGAGCTGCTCAGCCCCACCTGGGACCATCCTGCCCTGCCTGGGGCCAGAGCTGCCACAAGATGCCACCTTCTCCACGGGTGCGAGTAAGGCTTTGGGAAATAAAGAATGCGCGTAAGAAACAACAGAAGCTTTCAATGGGCTTAATGTCCTTTCCTGGGAGATGGACGTGTTCAGATACAAGACTGAGATTCGATATAATAAGCATTTCGGAAGAGGAGGAGCCAGGGTGAAGCGTGGAAGGAAGGAAGGAAGGAAGACAGGCCACACCTGAGCCTACGTATCACCCTGGACAGAGCTTGGATGATGAGAGAGTGAGTGAGGCCAGTGGCTGGGACCACGGCAGGTTAAGGAGGTGGCAGGAGGCAGAGGAGTGCCGAGAAGAGGGGTGGAGGGAGCAGAGAGGGCAGGGCGAAGGCTGGGGCCAGCGGGAGGGGCACAGTCGACCCAGCAGCTACACAGCTGCTGCCGCCCACTGAGCAGGTGGTGGGGCGGGAACACCTCACAAGCACATTGTAGACAGAAGTTCACGCGGTGCAGAGCACAGAGGGGAGCAGAACCGGGAGGGGTGACAGTCACCGGGCTGGTCCAACGCCTGGAGTGCCGGGCTGTCCGGGGAGAGCGAGGCCAGGAAGAAGGATGTGAGCGGAGGAAACGAGAATGCGCACGAGGCAGTGCCTGTGGTCTCCCCTGTCCTTGGTCACTGGGCCCACACGGGGTCTGGAGCCGTGGACGCAGGCGCATGTGGCCCCGCAGGATGTCAACAGCACCTCGGGCAGCTTCCACGCTCTAACCTGCTGGTCTACACACAGAACTCCCAAGCCTGGTGCCATGCCAGCAAAGCCTAACGCATTGTGCAGGGGCACAGCGTGGGGTGCGGAGCGTGGAGGGCCGCCGTGTCCGGGGGAGTGGGCAGAGGCTTCCTGGTGGAGCTGAGACCTGAGCGGGTTTAAAAGCTTCATTGCAAGTTTCAGGTTTTGAAAGTGTCTGGGGATCGTGGGGGCTGGGGGTGTCCCAGGCAGAGCGACACATGTGCAGAGACCTTGAGGGGTTATGCTAGGCAGCGGTCGGCCAACTCATTAGCCAACAGAGCCAAGTATCAACAGGACAACGATTGAAATTTCTTTTGAGAGCCACATTTTTTAAACTTAAACTATATAGGTAGGGACATTGTTATTAACTTAGTTAGGGTGCTCCTAAGGCTTAGGAAGAGCCACACTCAAGGGGCCAAAGAGCCGCATGTGGCTCGCGAGCCGCAGTTTGCCGACCACGGTGCTAGAGGTTCCCTTCTTCCACAGGGCTCAGGCTGCTCACACCTCTAGGAGGGACACAGGCCGTCTGTCAAGCGGTCCCCTGGCTCACACACCGGCGTGTGCCGCCCCGGCCGTGGCTCAGGAGAGAACCCTCCCCCACCAAAGGCAGTGAGGCTGCCCTTCTCGCTGGACATTACAGTCAACGCTGGCCTCCTTAGCTAAGAGCTCATATGGCTAAGAACTGTTTTATTTTTCACTTTAAATTTGTGCCCGTTGCTTTTTTATGTCTAGGGGACAACCTAGTTTTTCCCAGATGGACAGCGGATTCTGCCATTAGTCACTCGTTAGAGAAATGATACTCCCCACCAGTCCAAAGGGCCCCTCTTGCTCATGTCAGTTCCCACCACCGTGGGGCCCACTTGGGGCTGCTCTGTGCTGTCCCCCGTTTACGCCATCGCTCAGCCTGCTGAGTGTCAGGCTCTGGGAAACCAGCCTCCTTACTGCAAGGACGTCATGAGGTGACTTGGAACAACGTCTAGCCAGCACCAGCACCAGCACCGACACCGGCACCGGCACCGGCACCAGCACCAGCACCAGCACCGGCACCAGCACCAGCACCAGCACCAGCAGACCAGGAAGTGATGGTTCTCTTTCTCCCCAGCTCAGGAAACCATGAAAGGAAGGATGGAAGCTGATTTAAATGTTGCTTCTACACAGTTGTTTCAGAACTGCCAGAGGGTCAGATGGTGCCGAAAGCAAACACTTCAGTCAACATTGTGGGGAGGGTGTTCATCCCCAGTGTGTACACCTGAGTGTTAGGTCAGAGGCCATTTAACACCTATGGGCAGCCCCACATGTTTCATTTCTTCAGGGATCACTCCTCCTCCATCCCTGCCTGCCCCTCCATCCCTGCCTGCCCCTCCATCCCTGCCTCCTCTCCTTCATCCCTGCCTGCCCTCTTCATCCCTGCCTCCTCCATCCCTGCCTCCTCCATCCCCGCCTCCTCTCCTCTGTCCCTGCCTGCCCTCTCCATGCCCGCCTGCCATTTTGAAAGAAGGCCTATCTCCCATTGGTGACGGTTAGAAGCACCAGGTGACCTGTCAATGGCTCTGAGGCCAGAGCTGCAGGACCTGCGTCTGTGAGGTCAGGATGGCCCAGCAGCCTTGGTCTCACCGATCAGCTCGCATCTTTTCTGAGACTAGAGAACGTTAACCCGACTATCATGGTTTGGTCTCTGAGTCTCTCCAGCAATTTACATTTAGAAAAACCACCTTAAAGCGCTACTTACGCATTCACTCCTTCAAGTCCAGGGTTTATTTTTATAAGGACAGGTTTTCATGGGAATTTTACATGATTTTATACTTAAAGAAAACTCTTGAATTTAAAACATTTACTTTTGAACCAATATAAGCTACCAGAATAACCTGAAGAGAGGGCAAGGGAGTTACTTTGTAAAATGTAAACTTTGCATGTGGAATCAGGATTTATTTCATGACTTTCATTTTCCCTCTTTCTCCCCAATAAAACACGCACCTTCTTGTCCAGCCAGTGTGGCTCCGTGGTTGAGAGCTGGCCTAAGAACCAGGAGGTCACGGTTTGATTCCCGGTCAGGGCACATGCCCAGGTTGCGGGCTCGATCCCTAGTAGGGGGCGTGCAGGGGGCAGCCCATCAGTGATTCTCTCTCATCACTGATGTTTCTATCTCTATCCCTCTCTTCCTCTCTGAAATCAATTAAAACATATTTTTTTAAAATGTGCACTTCCTCAGGTTGAGCCTGTCAGAAGCTCACCCATTCGGGGAGGCTCCTTTAAGACCGGAGGCTGTGCTCTGACCTGGCTCCGGCCACAGCACTGACCAGGGAGGAGCTGTCCGTGGGCTCCTAGGACAGCAGGAGCCGTCTGGCTTGCGTCCTGCACACTGTGAACTGCTCTCCTTCCGGCAGGAACAGGGCAGGGGCACCGTGGGGTCACGTCCCAGGACCTCTGGGACCTGTCAGAGCCTGAGCCCCGCCCACCCCCCTCCCCCTCCTGCAGCCAGTCCTTCATTATTCAGGAAGCAATAGCATCTGTCCATTAGCCAGGCCTGCCGTTCCCCTCTGAGGCTCAGCCTGTGGTCCCTCACTGCTCATAGCAGCCTGAGCAGCAGACTGCAGAGGCAGAGCTGACACCCTTTGCCCAGTGGGGCCTGGAGGGAGTGTGGGGAGCGAGGAACAGAGGAACCCGAGCCGCTCCTGGCGAAATGCAGTGTGTAGACCACGCGGCACACAGCTTCCTGTGCCTCCATTCCCGTGGACCACCATCTCCTAGGTGACCGGGACCCCGCCTCCTCTCAGGACAGGAGAATCGGCCTGTAAGGTCAGAAAGACTTAGGAATTCTACACAAGTCGTCCTTGAAAAGTGCTTAGAAAAACTACTGTAACCAAATTCTTTTCCAAAATATGACAATTTTCCATTTCAGTGAAATGAATGCAGCGCAAACATGTTAGAAGGTAGGGTTCTGTCCCTACTTATGTGAGAGGAAGGATGGCATTATTATTAAGGGAGTGAAGTTAGAAAAGGTTAGTAGGTGTGCAGTTCATGGCTTCGTGGCTTATAATGTCCAAGTTCAGTTATCCAACCTCATAGGATGAAAATAGGGAAAAGCAGGCAAATCAAACAGGAACAAAGCCGTGGTGTGTCTGCCCCGATGTTTCCTTCTCACTGAGGTGGCAGCAGTGACACACCCTCAGGGACAGAGACCCAGCCCAGCCCAGCCCAGCCGGTGCTGCTTGGTGAGGAGGAGGTCGGTGCCCAGAGAGGAAGAGCAACTGAACTGGGAAAACAGAAATTCTGGGCGAGAAAAGACAAGGGAGACCAGCGATGCGCGGCTCCGCCCTGAGACTGGGGCGGGTGGCGCTCGCCTGGTCCTGGTCCGAGCCCCACGCGGAGCGATGGCCACACGGCCCTCCCACAGCGGCTCCTCTCCCCTCTCGCTGG